CCTGCGACAGAAGTACAAGTCATTCTGTTTTGACTGTCAATCCAGTCTACTCTTACCTCTTCTGAAGCTGTCAAGAGGCCACCAAAAGGTGGCTGCAGTGAAACAGATGACTTTTAGGACATAGGAAGAGCTGCAAAGACCGGAAATCAGGTTACGGTACTGGCTACAGTTTAAGAAGATTTGGATGCTGGGGACATAGCACACACAGCAGGCAGGGGTTATCACTGACTCACCAGCCAGGCATTGCACAGAGGCATGACCAAACTAGGCTTAATGGAAGAGAAAGCCCTGCAAAGCAACAGTCATTCCTGCTTCCCATGTCTGCAAAGACGCTCTGGGATTTGAAGATGTCATGGACTGTCTTGGCTGTCTACTAACAATTCTACTGAAATCATCAACTCGGATGAATAAGCACATTCTAATACGCCAAACAGAAGACCTTCTCACTTCTGTCTTCTACAACGAAGGCCTAAACATGACCAATTGTTTAGAGACAGGCTTCAACTCGTAATGTGCGCTCATCAGCATGGCATGCCAACATTGAAGGTGAAGCCCTTCACAGTACCCCTGCACCGCTGCATCTCAAATGCCATGAGAGGCATCACGAGACAGTAAACGGATAATATTCTATGGCTTTCCTCCTCCAGGTCCTGACAGAAAGGACACGTAAAAGATAAGAAACACCTTAAAGCAAATACAAAACATAGAAACATTCAAAGTCTAAGAGTTCAGACCAGGTTCTTGTTCGTTATTCTCTCCTGCCCGTACGAGAAGGTTAAACGCAGTCACTGAACTCTGCATACCACCCTCAGTCACGAAGAACCCTCTGGCACAGCTCCCAGACCAGTAAAAATCGACCATTTTGGGGCCCAAAGCATGGAGCCTGATCCATTTAAGCAAAACAAGTTCTACTGACAGCTGGTTTTCTTAGCATATTCACGTCTGTGTATTTATCAGAGAAAAGCCCTCCAGGACAACAGTGTTTATTACAGGATTATTTCTGTGAATCCACAGAACACAGTATTCACTGAGCAACAGTGTTTCTATCCTTATATGTTTTTTACTTAAAATGTGAACCAGGACAAATCCATTTTTACCTTCTTTAGCATGGACAACTCATTAAGGAAAAAAAGACATACTTTTTTTAAAAAAAACACCCTTCTGATCCACATTCATGTGTAGTACACTGACACACATTTTAAGCATTAATATAGAAATCAGCTTTTCAATCTCACTCTGACTCCTCGGATTTAGAGTCTAGTGACTTTTAATAAACAGAAGCCAACAATACGACAGATACTTTTATTAAAAATTTCCTTTCCATACAAGTATCTATTATACTTTCACTAGAAAGGTAACTGAGCAAGCAAGACGCTTTCTACCAACAGGTTTAGAGACATTATGAATAACACACAGAAAGAGAGACATAAAGGAACATCCCAGCAGCTCCTCATTGTGCAGAGGAGTGCAGAAGCAGCCTCAGAACGCTTCTGTGCATACCTAGCAGCAGGAGGAGGTCAGGTGGATGAGTAAGAGAGGGGCCTCCAGTACTGACACTGCTCACCTCTCTGACCCTCTCCCCAACGCACAGCAGCCATCGGTGGGAGGATGAAGAGTATCCTGCTGCCCGTCCCATGTCCTGAGGTGGGAGCAGGAGTAGGACAGGCTGGGGACACACACTCATGGATGCTGACAAGCAGCATCCGCTCACGTTGGGTGGTCAGTCTGTGGCGTTTCCCAGCTTACCGCTTCCTTCAGAAGTGTGCAGAAACTTGTTTTTATGATGCTACAGTTATGATGGTTGTTTTTAAACAAAACACGTATCATAAATACCCCATTTCATTTTAACTTAATCTAATTTTTGACATCATTAAAAGCGACTGTTATTGGTATCTATCTGCTTATTGATGCAGTGCAACAGAGAATAAGAATTCTAAAAAAGTTTTCATTTTATAATTTTTAAGTGATTGATTTCAAATTAAGGAAACATTAACTAGAAATTGCTGTTGATGTGTTTTGAACAATTAGTTAAAGGAATGTTTTTAATTTAGCAAGTTTTGATGAAAGAATTAAATCATGTACAGTTACGAATAATTATTGCTGAGATTTTTATAAAATAACACGAACACTTCCCATCCCTAAGCATGGGTGTCTTTTTTTACTGTAAGAACAAGACTTGACACTCTTGCAGCCAGACACCACACCACGCAAGTCAACGGAACACCGATATTGAGTCGAATGAGCCACAATACTTCTCTACCACGTTTTTATGCTCTGGTTTAACATGAGCTTTTTCAAGTCAACCAATGTACTAATGTTTTAGCCACAAGTCATAAAAAAGCGTTCAATTCCCTCACTTTGCAAATCTCTCTTCCAGAGTCTATGACAAAGAGCAGTCAAAGTCTTACCAGTATTATGTCTATCATCCATCTAAAAATAGAGCAATGTGCTTTACAATAAGTCTTCAATGCAAAAACACTATATTCATATTCTTAGGGCTCAAATTCGCTGACAAGATCTGTGGGTACGTATCATCTTTAGAAAATGCAATGTGGAAACACATGTTTATATGGTAGAGCACAAAAGCAACGAAACTTCATGGGAAAGCATGAGATAATGTACATAACACAAACAGGCCCTTTGCTCTTACTTCTCTACAAAGCTAAAATATTTCTATCTGAAAATGTTTTTTCGTATGTCAGGAAAATGCTATTCCTGTTTGCTTGTTCTTCCTAAGGTGAACAGTTCAGTATTAGCCAACTAATTGTGGGAATTTGGTATTTTTCCTGTTTTGTTGAGTACTTGGGAACGTTATGTTGGGAACTGTCAACTACTGCTCACTCCACCTCAAAATCTGCTGCATAAAAAAAAAATACACTGGTAATTTGCTTACGTGGCTTTTGTAGATGTAATTACTGTTAGCAGCAGGAAAGAACTTTTATAAGCAGAACACAATTCAAATGCAACATGCCATGGCCTCAAGTCATTAAACTAATCCTCAGGGCTTCTGGAGGCTTTTCGTACTTTTGGCAAAAAGTATAAAGAAGTACGCATTGTTGCCCGAGTTCCCAAACACTGGAAAGTTAAATATCTAGACTGTCAGCCCCTGCTAAACGGAGCAGAGATTGGTTTTGGGAAAGAACAAGAGACAACTATATCTTTGTTACTAAAGCGCAATCGAACAAACATTCCCATGCATTTTTTCAAGGCACATAAAAAGTAGCCAGGAGAATAAAGGAAGGTACGACAGCTCACAAGCAACTCTGATATTATGAGTTACCAGTATCTAGACAGTGTGATGAATACCTTGCACAAGGAGAGATTGAGTTATATGAGTATCACAACTTTGATACACAGATAACGTGACAAGGTGTGGCATGGAACTCCATGGTTTATTGGCATGATTTTAACATGACTACATAAGCTATAAATGACAAAGCCATAAATACGTCAGACATGTCAGATATGTAATAACACCACTCAAATATCATTCTGCTATTTGCTTTACATCACACGTCTAAAATTGGATACTCTTTAGGGCACTGACAGAAAATGTAATACTTTTAGGAAGACAAAGTGTTCCTCTGTATTGCTATTCTTGTTGGTATCAAGAGGTTAACATCCTTCTAAAGACTGTGAAAGTGGAAAAACAAGCCATGTATTCATTAGCACATGGATCATTTAGACAGATATACCTGGGTCACCTGAAATACACGTAAGAATCAGCATGTGACTAGAGCTGAAAATACAATGAAAGCTAGTGACAGCCCATTTGCTTTTAACAGCAGCTGAGTAGAAGACTCCTTTGAAACACAGGATAATTACATGTTTGACTACAATTATTCCCTCAACCAATGTTGACAAAAAGTAGTGAATTGATACAAAATATGAAAATGTAAAAGCTCCTAAATATAGAGTGTGTGTGTTTGCATGTGCATGCGTAACCTACATTTTTTAAAATAAAATATCTGGGAAGTCTTATGCCTGTATCTAAATCAAATCTCAGGTTTTGTTTTTTAAATTGCATCCAACAGTTTATCCAGACCAATGTCCTATTGAGCAAAATGTCAAGATACCATGTTTTCTCACTCACACAAACTTTATCACGGAGTTAATATAAAAATGTAGTCAGCATTTCTCATCTTTTCTTCTCTACCCAAAAGTCTCATCACCAGTTGAGAGGAAAGTCCCTGCAGTATTAACCAGGAAAACAAAGCACCACTGAAACAATGCTAGACCAGCTTGACTGTTGCATATGTGAACAGTCTACTGTAGTCACTTTTCAAAGCAGACATTATGAGACTGAGATACTGAAGAGAAGGAGGAGCAACAAGACATTCTTAATTGCAGAAATGGAAGAAGAGAAGTTTAATGAAAGCAGATTGATTTCTAATCCTCACCCTTCCATTTTAGGAGTAGAAAGTCATTTCTCAGCAAATGCATTTGCCAGCTAGTAAACAGATCAGTAAGGTTCAACAATTTTAAAATGAAATATTCGGATATTCTCCTGAAAAAAGTAACTTACTAAAGCTGCGAATTCATAAAACACAGTTAATAAAGCCCTTTAGCGTTTACAACAATGCTTTATTCAAATGCATTATGTCTATACAGAGAATTTACCTTCCCAAAAGAAAAAGAAATTAAAGATCCCCCACAAAAAACCTATCAGAACACTGTACTGTAGGAGGCACTCAAAATATACTGCTACAGGAAAATACAGCATAGTTTTCATGGATTATGATGCTACAAGAATATCACAGGTAGCCAGTGCTGACTTTTCTTCATCCATATGTGATCCAGTCACACATACAGAACTAGCCAAAAGAAGATCTGTCATTTCTCCACTGCACACATACTTGCAGTAATCATTATGACTTTAAGCAATTTAAAGCAATAGCATGTTATCACCTAGTCAACATTTCTCACATATATCAGGAAAAAATTGGAAAGTTCAGAGATGAAACAGAATGAAAACTCCAGAAAAACACTGTCTCACTCACTGTTCAATACGTGGGGAGAGATACAGCTTAGGAAAAACCTGAGTAGCTTCTGCATCCTCAAAACTAACGGAGAGAAGTGCAACATCTTCTCCAGGATCTTCATTCACATCCTGTACATGAAAAATAACAAATATAAAATGGCAAATAATACACTGAGTGTACTTATAAGCTTACAGATAACAACTAATAAGTCAAATACCAATTCATTTAGGAGATGCTTAGGTGAGGAATCTAAAGTGTAACTACTGAATAATAGGTTGCAAACTTATTCTCGTACTATATTAGTACTTAAAAGATATTCTGCTGTGCCTAGCTTCCTTTAAAGTATCAAAATAAAATTACTGTGTTAGCAGGTGGACAGTAGTGTACCTCTTCTTCAATTAGCTGAACTACATATTTCAGTAAAGATGCAGATTTCATTTTTAAGAATTCTTGTTTTAACACTAACATCAGACGCAAATGCCAAGAATTTTTTAAAACATTATAATATCGCTCAGTTATGACCACAGATTTTTATATTTGTTATTTTTCAAAGTAGTATATGCTCCAAAATTTCTGCTGTACTCAACTCCTACTTCTCTGTGGATGAAAAACTTTTTTGCAATCAGAAATTTGTATCTAGAAGTCATCGTCCCCAAGTTTCCTGCAAATTAAACCCATACATTACTTTCAGCAAAGACTGCATACTCTATACAAACTACTGTAAGGAAAAAAAAAAAAAGAAATCCATGCTAAATACCATGACAGCCAATCTGAATGCATTCACAGTTTAAATTTCCTTTGTATCAGAACAATCAGCTGCAGCTTTGGGATCAAGTAGAACAAATTGTTTCTGTAGGACCTGACATCTCTCCAATTCATAAATCACACAAAGTACCAACAAGCGTGTTTCTGCTACACACAACTTCTTTTAAGCTCTTGATCTCTATTTAGAAAGAAATGAGTTAGCAGTGCAGTCACCTTCATCGACAGCAAATAATACGGTGCCACTTGCTGCTCACAAAGAAGTCCTTTAACATGTTTGTGCATATGTACATAGTAACTTGCCAAGATGCATTTGTTTTCATATGTTTTGGAAAAATATGGGAGGAAATAGATAACCCAGCAGATATGTGCTCAAAGCAGGATCAACATGGTGCAGTGTGCCCTGGTATGCTCTGTCCCACAAGCAGCTGTGAGGAAGGAACATGCAAACCACTTACACATTGTTAGGAGATCCTGCCCTATCGGGGGGGGGGGGGGGGGGAAAAAAAAAAAAAAGCGACTGCTGAGTGATTTCAGGAAGACAATCTTGTGCCATTTGAAGCTTTGGCAGGACTGAAACTGTTAAAATCGAAAGAGACTAGCTGCATACCAACTACTACGTGCAGAACATAACATGCCAAGAAACTTAGCGATAAACTGCAGGGAAGAATGGGTCTTTAAAAAGCCTAATTGTCTTAGACGAAAAATGAGACAGAGCTGACAGTGTTTTCTTAAATTCTGCCTTGGTGTGCAGCTCACTTCTGGCAGCTGAAAGAAAAGTGTACTCTTAGAAATGCCTATAAAACGGTCACCAGCACACTATGGCTGGAAATCGTAACATGTTTTTAACCTGAAATTGCAGGACAACGCTCCATATGAGTGGTGAGGACAAAAACTAGCTGCTGCCCTGTTGGGGTATGACCAGTTTATGGATGGGATTATAAAACATGGTTGCTTGTAATAGCAACGGGCAGGATCTCATGACCCACAATGTTCCCTTCAATGTCACATATCCAGGTGCTACTATCATCTACAATAGAAGAACTAGCACAGATACAAAACCTTTTTCAATAAGACAAACAACAAGAAAAAATCACCCGAGAGTGCAATCTCCCCTCCACCTTTTCCCCAGCTTTTAATATATTTCTGTCATTAAGGAAAAAATTAAAAGAAGGAACAGCTTTCCTGAAGCTGAGTATGGCACTAACTGGCTTTTCCCCATTAATTTGCTAATCATCAATCAAATGAAAAGAACTATTAAGACAGATTAAGCAGTAATACCAGCGATTAAAAAGATTTTACTTTAATGGGCACTCTTCAAGAGATGACAAGTACATGTAATACATTCGCTCATGTACATATACAGTTCTTCCAAGGCCATATTCTTTTGTTTGTTAATTCCTTTCAAATAATTTATTTATACAGAATAGAGTCTACATGAACTTTACAAGCTGCATGGACAAAACCCAACATACTTAATCTTGTGTTGAGTCGTAGTGCTTAAGTTGCTGTGCACACACAGAGTGACATCATGCGTAAGACCAGCTTCTAGAATACCATCCAGGTACTTAGGCAAGGAATAACAAAACAAGGGGGGAAAAAAACCACAATCAAAAAACAACCCTAAAACAGATTAGGTGAACACCACTGCAGCACCCATTAAGCTATACAGTAAGATTACACTATATTTTCTACAGTCACTACTGGCTTCTTTAATATGAAGACTTATGCCTGGGGAAAAAAAAAAAACAAAACAACAAACACACAACAACATAAATCATCACAGTATCTTTGCAAGTTAAGCTGCAATAAGCTGATATGTGCAGTAAGAGCAATAAACTGAGACGTGATATTTTTCATTTACAAAAATAACACACAACAAACACTTCTGCAACTACTGTTGCCAGCACAGCAATGCATTACATTCACACAGCTACTGTCCAATGCAAGTTTGAGTATAGAAGTAAGTAAGAAGTAAGTAAGTAAGCAAGTTTGAGTACAGCATTCTTCTGTAACTATCACTTTTCAAATGGACGCGTATTTTTGGCCTACATACCTGAGAAATGAAAATTGTATCTTAAAAAAGATGTAAAAAATCAGCATTCCTATAGGTTTTAAAAAGACACAACACAGCAACACCATGAAGTTGCCCAACCTTTTTGCTCAGGTGACCACAGATTTACAATGAAATCCTTTTGTATCCAACAGCATACTGTTTATTCCTTTCAGACTTTGTTACTTTTATTTATGCAAGAATCTGCTTGGTGGAACTGCATTGAACCCTAGTACGTCTGTTACAACTGCCATTTATAAAACTAAACCAAAACCACGTCTTAACAGATAATGTGTGGAAAGCTTTTCAACTAATAGACCTTTTTTTCAATGTTGTCTGTGCCAGTTACAATTTGACTCCTTCAGTGATCTCTCTCCCAGTCATCTCTACAAACTTGTTAGTGACTAGGGCAGATGATGGATCCTTGTATTACCTGGCAACGACATTTGTCCAGCACAGAGGCTGAGATCCTTCCGTTACAACAAAGCGTCCAAAGGCAAAGGTTGTTTTAATGCTTCTCATCAAACCCTGCCCAGGCAGTGTCCTTCCCTTTCCCATTTCTGCATGCGTATTTCTCTCCAAGAACAGGTCAGATTTAAACAGAGCAGCAAAGCAAAAATCACCTCTATTTTTATTTTTCAGTTGGCTTCAAAAGAGATAGTGACATCCAATTGCTTTGGCAATATTATTCCCTTTTAGGAAAAAAAGAGCCTGTTGAACTAAAGTCACAACACATTTTTTAATATTTAAGTCGCCATGTTCCTTCTCATAATTTGTATTTAACTCACAACACTTAATGTTAGAGGATTTTATTAAAAATACTAATTTCATCTTTAAGAAAAATTGATTTTGGAAAAATTAAGAATGACAATTTTGTACAAATGTTAGCATCCAAGGTTACAACTGCCACATTAAAGTACCATTTTATACTCACAGAACTTTTTCCACAGAAGAGTCTACAGAGGGTATTATTAAAATGAACTTCCACTGAACGGATAGCACATCCAGGGCCACAGGAATTTTGAGGTTTAAAAAACTGAATGTTAATAAAATGTTTGAAATCATTAGTTAAGCATGTGATAATGCACACCTATTACTTTTTCCACAACAGTCTCATGCTTGATAGTAAAAAAAAAAAACACCAACACTCTAGTGTACTGTGATGTAAAAGATTCAACGTAGATTTTCAATGTCTCTCTGCCACTTTTCTCACTATCATGTATTTTTTTAAAAAATCTTATAATCATTTCACAAAACGTCCATTCAAATCAAACAGGAAAAAAAATGGGTAGACCATTTAGCACCAAAAATAGTCTTCTTTCTCAAGAACTGCAAGGGGTTTCCTATGTTTACAGAATACTTTGCACGGTGTGGACTGATCCTTGACTAAACCTCCAAAGTGCTGTGGAAATGCAAAATGTGCATAGTAAAGCAGTGTGGTAAGAATCTTAAAGACTTTAAACCCATAGGCTTTCTTCTACTACAGAGACCTTCTAGCAATAACTTACAAGAAAAAATGAAACTTTTCATGAAGAGAATCATAAAGAGAAAGCTCATGGCATTTTATTCTAATTTACCCTTATTTGCTTCCCTAGTGCACATGAAAAGTTCATTAAAAATGTATTTTTGAAACTCAAGAACAAGAGGCCATATGAAAATACAAATGCAGCACAGAACAGATGAAAATGAAAGTTTGAAGGCATTTAGAATTTTTTTTTCCACCAAAAAAACTCTTTAGGTATCTATCTTTAGGTATTTTTTTTTTTTTTTTCCACAAAAAAAACCCCTCTTTTAGGTAAGACGACTTTAGGTATCATAAGACTCCAAAGTAAAATTTAAAACCCTACTTCTAATTATAACAGCACTGTCTAAACAATCATTTGTGAGTTTTCATTCATACCAGTCTAAATTTACATTCAAATGAATGCTTCACTGTTTACAGCTGCTCCCATTGCAAGATATTTAATCTTTTTACGAATCTGAGTTGTTTATGAAAATTATCATCAAAACCACTTTAAATACACCATCCAAACGGCATTGTTTTCTCATATCCTACCTACTGTAATTGAAAACTGAGAATTTACTGGAACTGACAATTTATAATGAGTCAGATGGTTGATAGCCAGTCCAACCAAAACATCTGCTTCGCACAGTCACAACTGCTATAACCCATTTCCTCTTGTGCCTGGAGTCCAACCAAGTTGTACATTGCAGTTCCTTTTCCTTAAAGATGCAGACTCTGGAAAATCAGTTACTACCTTTCCTTAGTTATCAACAAAGATAACTTTGCAACCTCTGATCAGAGTATTCTTT